TGACACTAGGAGAAAACAAAGGTACTATAACACTCATACTGGGCACTTTATACAGCAATGATTACTTACTCCAATTATGCAAGGCCAAATCAGAATGCCAAAAGAATTCTCAAAATTGTATTCATTATAATTGAAATAAATATATACCACCAAGCATGTTTAGCTGGGGCTGGAGACACAGAATAGTCTAACAAAATGCAACAATTCTAGAGTCAAATAGTGTGCATTGGGAACTTTTGGAGGGCATTAACTGTTTACGAAGAGCCTGACCCCTAGTGGTTAGCAACTATGGCTACATACACACAGAGGAAACAGCCAGTATGCTTTCAGCTGTTTGTTGGGCGTTTTTACTGGATCTCAATTTCTATCAAAAGTAAGAGAAATAGGAGCACCTGGGTGGTTCAGTCAGTTAAGCGTCTGCCTTCGGCTCAGGTCATGATCTCAGGGTCCTGGGATGGAGCCCCACTTCGGGTTCCCTGCTCAGCAACCTGCTTCTCCCTCTGCCTCTGCCGTTCCCCCTGCTTGTACTCTCTCTCTCTCTCTCAAATAAACAAAATCCTTAAAAAGAGAGAGAGAGAAATCCTTGCCACTACAAGTATGAAATCTGAGCTCAAATTATATTTTAGCTTATATTATCCTCATTTATCGTACTTCATAAAATCATACAGAAAATCATCTCATCTAAATTCCTATTTCATTAGAATATGAGATTCAGAGAAGTTCAGGGACTTGTATTGCACTGACTGACAGTGAACACGTATAAAAGGAGTTAACTGGTAAGTTCTTCAACTATGAGGTAAAAAAAGGTCAACCAAAAGAAACTATGCTGCACAACTCACATATTAATACATTTAGTTGGGAAGCAGTCACAGTTCTTTCGAATGCCTGGCATACAATCAGCACAGCTCTAAAACTTTTCCTTTAATGGGTTGGATCTTAAAGAATTGTGTCCCTAGGGGAAAAGCTGCAGGTCAAAGACTTTAGAGTGCTGCACACAGCAGTCAGTTACACAGCTGTAGAATAAACACTTTCTCCACACTCTGACCGGATTAATCATCTGTGCCACATATACACCATTACCACTGGTTAAAATCCCCCACATTCTTTCCTCAGCAGATCTGCAGTGTGTTCTACCCTCATCTCACTACCATACCCACTTTCTAGGCTTCATTTACATCAAGAAGTTGTTACTTCCCAAGTCTAGAAATCCAGCCTAAAGCTCTTTCCTTTGCTCCCAACTTATACATCCAAAAGCCTACTGTGTGTTTATACTCTGGTGCTCCAGCATTATTTTAAACTCTCTGGATTCAAAGTTGAAAACAACCTGATGCCCATATAGCTTCTCTCTCTCTCCATATATATATATATATATATATATATATATATATATATATATATATGGAGATACACATATATATTACATATATTTATATATTTATGTACATATGTATGTATGTAGGCTCCATGCCCTGTGAGCTCATACGTAGTGCAGTACTTGACACATGACACATGCTCATAAATGGTTAACAAATGAATGGAATCTGCAGCATACCACAAAACCCTCCACTGTACTCTAAACTCATTACATTTCTAGTTTTATAAAGCACCCCCAATGATACATATAGAATAATTAAAGAAATGTCCAAAGAGATGTTGTCATGGTCAGGTTTCTTTGGCTAGGCTATAGTCTTCGGTTATCAATCAAACACTAATCTAGGTGTTGCTGTGAAGGTATTTTGTGCACGTGATTATTAATCAGTTGATTTTAAGAAAATGAGTGGTTGTGAGTTATATGGGTAGGCCTGATCCAGTTAGTTGAAAGGCTTTAAGAACAGAACTGATGTTTCTCTGAGGAAGAAGAAATCCCACCTACGACTGGAACTTCAGCTTCCGCTTGAGATTTTCCGACCCTCCCTGACTGCCTGCCCGATGGATTTTAGACTAACCTAAGCCCCCACAACCACATAAGCCAATTCCTTTTAATAAATCTCTTCATTCTGTTTCTCTGATACAACACTGATTGACACAGGCATCTACTATATAAAAGTAGACACTAAACCAGACCCTGTATATAAACTGATAAAGGGGTCAAGAAGACCAGAAAAAAATAGTTAATTTTAATTGAGAAAGCCCTGTGCTGTGCAACTTATGTTCCCTGTTTCACTTAACCCTCACCCTAACACTCTGGAAGTAGTTATTATTCCCATTCCTTCCTTCATTCAACAGATACTTTGAGTGCCTATCACATGGCAATCACTGCCAGTCACTGTTCCAGATGTAAGAAATATAACCTCAAAAAAAAACAGACTAGGTCTCTGCTCTCATGGAGCTTAGAGTACAGGTGATGACACTGAACCTCTGTGGTTACAGAAGCCTGCCTCAGCTCACAAAGCTCTAAGTCAAGGCACCAGAATTTCAACCCGAGTGTATGGTTCCAAAGCTCTTGCTCTTCTAATTCATTCCAATGCTAAAAGACATGTTCACCCAGACAAACTTTAACAAGCTGGGTACCCAGAATATAAGGTATATAAAGTGGCTTGTGCCCAGATGCTGCAGTGAGTAATACCTACAGTAAGTTCCCCAAGAAAACAGAGGATGACCTAATCCTGGAGACATGAGTAATGAGAAAGATTCTGTGAAAGAGGCATGAAGATCTTGAAAGAACACTCATAGGTCTTCAACTGGCATAGAAGATGAAGCAACCCAGGAGTCAAGAGGCCTAGCATGAACAAAAACTGGGACAAAGGAACATATGTGATATATATGAAGAAACTTAGAAATACAGTTTGACTAGAGGAGAAAGTCTGGATCCAGGAGCAGTAAAAGGTCACTACTAGCCCTACTTCCCATAACCACCAAAATCCCATTCCCAACCCAGTCCACTTCAAAAATCTTCAGAGTGCTGGGTTTGGGGTTTTTTTTTTAGATTAACATAGTAACTACACACAAAACAAACTGAAGGAAGTTGGGAGTGTGAGTGATTTGCAAAAAAATTCTGGGCTAGCTGAGGCTGGGAATGGAGAGGAAGAAAAATATGAAAAAGATTCTAAGAAAATATCTAGGAAAGTGACTTAAAAAGTAACAAAAACACTGACAAATGCAGTCAAAGTGCTGAAATAAATTTAAATGGAATCATGAGAAAATACTTAGCATCACCAAATTTATTGTAGGTACTTAATAAATGTTCCTCTTTTAAAAACAGCTTCCCTTAGAGGGGAGGGGGGTGGGGGGATGGGTTAGCCTGTTGATGGGTATAAAAAGAAAATAAAAAAAATAAAAATAAAAACAGCTTCCCTGAGATAAAATTTGCATAATCAATAATTTACTCTCTTAAAGTGTAGAATTCAATGGGGTTTAGTACTTATAGTGTTGTGAATATATCATCTATAATCTAATTTTCATCACCACAAAAAGAAATTTCATAACCATAAGCAATCCTTCTCTGCCCTATTCCCGGTCAAAAACAACCAGCAATCTATTTTCTATCTCTAGAGATTTGCCTGTTTTGGACACTTCATATAAATGAAATTATATAATATGTGGTCTTAATAAATGTTTCTTGACTATGAATCTGAACTTCTGGAAAAAGAGTTAGTTCTGAGAAGGAATTGATGAGTCACTGACGCATTACTGTAAGATGATGATACTGACCAACTGGAGACCTAAACACTCACCCGATCAAGCAAGTACATTATTATGCAAAGCATTATGTCTTCCAAGATTCTAGAGCACCCACGAAAGAGAAGAGAAGGAACTCAAAAAATGGGAGAGATTGAAATCTCCAAGGAAAAAGATTATATAGCACAAAGAGCAGAGAACTGATTTCATTTAAGAAGACCTGTACTTAGGAGCTGGACAAAGAAATGAAGAAGAAAGAACAGCCTCAAAGGCAGGAGAATCAGAACACAATTACAAAGACTGAGGAAGAGGGGCCACCTGTAGTACAGAAGACTGCAGAGTTCAAGGAAAAAAGTAACTGCAAAAAGGCTACAGAATTTAGTAACTTCGGGAAGCTGAGTTTCGATAGTACATGTGTGTAGTACAGAAAAGAAGTAATAGCTTTTAAGAGAAAAAATGAGTAGCAAAATATGGGCAGAAAGAACACAGCCTAGTCTTCAGAGTTCTGAGAATAAAAGGCAAATGCACAAGAATAATATTTCAGGAGTGCCAAGTGTTCTTAAATATAAAGTACAGTTATTTCTAAGTATTCCTTGTACATATCCTCAAGTTACCAGACAGGGAAAAAATAAAGAAAAAACTGGTCTAAGGAATTATCTTCTTTAAAGTAAGACCCATCAAAAGTCTTTATCATCTTAAAACACAGGGGTTATTCCCAGGGTTTCTATATCATGTAGAATCTACATGTTTGAACACATGTAGAATATCAAAAATATGTATCTGAGACACAGTAAAACTTTATATAATAAACAAATAAAACCATTGATTTCTCTCTCCCCCTATGTAATGATTTTGTTAAGGCTAAGAAAACAGCCATGGGAATTTCATATGAGAAGTACAGCTAAGATAACTGGGCAGTCACTAAAAACAAATTCACGTTATAACCCAGTCCAAACCTGTCACCAGCTTACTTTATTTTCCTAATTTCATGTCTTTCAATTTTAAATACAAACAAAATGCACATTCCACACAAATTTACTTCTATGTATTAATCAGGCTAATATGCTTTATATTAAAAAAAAGAAATTAGAAAATTTTTTTTAATTCCAAAATTTTTTATATGAGGTTGACTCTTCATCAAAGAAACCTTGAGCTAACAGGATTTTAAGATACTTCCTTTTTACAGGAAGTTAAAAATGTGATGAAGTTTTCTTTATGCTTAACTTATAATTGTAAAAGGTAATCCTAAGAGAGTACATATGCTCAAGATGAACAACAAAACAGCTTGAGGGTACAATGAATTGAAAGTAAAATGGGAAGATGGGAACTGGGAACTGAACATAAGATTAAGTATAAAAATTTACAGTGTACAAATCACTTACCTTTTTAAACATAACTAGCGAGATGACCGCTGATGCTGTGAAAAGTGCTGCTATGATTATCATCATAATTCCAACAGGAATACTTTGGTTGAGGCCAGTAAGGGATGAAATCCAACCACTGAGAAGTAATTTAAAAAAAAGTATAATTAGACAAGTAAGTGAATGCATGCTTTTTAAAAAAAATAACATAGTAACCAATACATATTCAGCACTTATAAGCCAGGCAATATTCAAGATCTTCATATTAACTCACTTAATTTTCACAACTTCGTAAGACAGATACTGTTTTAAATCTCTATTTTGCAGATAAGCATAAGTCAGAGATAGTCACTAACTTGCTCAAAGTCACACAGCTAATAAATGGTATAGTCTGAATTCAAATCCAACACTGAGTACCAGAGCCTTAAGTGTGTACCACCACATTTTACTTTTTTTTTTCAGCACATGAGCTCATTATTACTTTCAATTCTTTTTAAATTCTGCTTAATTATGGAAGAAAATATTTGCAAACTGTATATCCAACCAACAATTAGCATTGAGAATATATGAAGAACTTTCAAAGCTCAACGGTTAGAAAAAAATTCCATTAGAAAATGGGCAAAAGGGGGAGGAGCAAGATGGTGGAGGAGTAGGAGACCTAAATTTCGTCGTCCCAGGAATTCAGCTAGATAGGGAACAAACCACTCTGAACACCTACAAACTCAGTAAGACATCAAAGAAAAGAAGAGCAGCAACTCTCTGAACAGAAAAGCGACCACTTTCTGGAAGGTAGGACGTGCTCAGAAGTGAAGCCAAGGCAATATTTGAGAAGATAGACAGAGGGGGAGGGGGCCTCCGTCAGCTGCTACTGGCAAGTGATAGAGCAGCAGAGCACAAAATCGGAACTTGTAGAAGTCTGCTCCACTGAGGGGTCGCTCCATTGGCTGAGCTGGGGGGGGCAGAACCTTCGCTGGGACAGTGTGGTCTCAGGACCCTCGGGGTCACAGAAAGACCAGGGATGACTCAGTGCAGCAGAGCTCCCAGGTATCAGAGCGGAGAAGCCGGGTGCAGAGACGGAGCCGAGGAGCAGGCTCTCAGCTCGGGGTTGCCATACACCATGATCCGGGGCACAGTTGGGTCACTGCTCCTCCAGCAGGGACCCAACAAGTGGCACAACGGGGAGACTCCCCTTCCTCCCCTGGGGAGGAGCGGCGCAGGAGCCCACCGCAGGGATCTGCTGGGTTTGGAGACTCCACACGGGGTTGGGTGCCAGTGACAGCTCGGTCACAGGCCAGGTGAGCATGGAGTGCGGCCGGAGACCAGGGAAACTAAGTGACTGACTGCTTTTCTCTGGGGGCTCACGAGGAGTGGGGCCCCGAGTTCTGGGCTCCTCCGGGGTGGAGACTGGGAGGCTGCCATTTTCACTCTTGTCCTCCAAAGCTGTAGGGAAAGCTTGCAGGGAACAAAAGCTCCCGAGAGCAAACCCCAGCAGATTACTTAGCCTGGCCCCTGGCAACGAGGGCAATTCTGCCTCTGGCAAAGACATTTGGGAACCACAGCAACAGGCGCCTCCCCCAGAAGATCAGCAAGAACAGCCAGCCAAGACCAAGTTTACTGATCAATGAGAATGGGAGAACGCCAGCACTAGGGGAATACTACACATAGAATTCATGGCTTTTTTCCCCTATACTTTAGTCTTTCAAAGTTAAATTTTTTAATTTTCTTTTTCTATTTCTTTTTAATTTTTCTTTTCCCCTTTTTCAACCAACATCTTATCAATCCCTTTTTAAAAAATCTTTTTTATTTTTCATTTTTAGAGTCATATTCTATCCCTTCATTGTAGTTAACCCTATTTTTGGTATATATACATAAGTTGTTCTCGCTTTAAAATTTTGGGATACAGTTTATTCTAACAGACCAAAATATACCCTAAATCTCTAGTGTATGGCTTTTTTCTAGTCTCCTATCTAAACACATTATCCCCCCCTCTTTTTTTAATTTCTCTTCTTTCTTTTTTCAACCAACGTATCCATTCCTTTTATAAAATCTTTTATAATTTTCATCTTTACAATCATATTCTATCCCTTCATCATATTTATCCTTATTTTTGTACATATATAAGTTTTTCTTTCTTTAAAATTTTGGGAGGCAGTTTCTTCTAATAGACCAAAATACGCCCAAAATCTAGTGTGTGGCACTGATCTATTCACCAGCCTAATCAAATTTGATCATATTCTTTTTTTTTTCTTTTTCTTTTTTCTTTCTTTCCCTTTCTTTCCCCCTGGTTTCAGGTTGCTTCTGATTTGTTTAGTGTAAATTGTTCGGGGGTCATTGTTACCCTGTTAGCATTTTGTTCTCTCATTCATCTGTTCTCCTCTGGACAAAATGACAAGACGGAAAAACTCACCTCAAAAAAAAGAACAAGAGGCAGTACTGACTGCCAGGGACCTAATCAATACAGACATTAGTAAGATGTCGGAACCAGAGCTCAGAATGACGATTATAAAGATACTAGCTGGGCTTGAAGAAGGGATGGAAGATACTAGAGAAACCCTTCTGGAGAAATAAAAGAACTAAAATCTAACCAAGTCGAAATCAAAAAGGCTATTAATGAGGTGCAATCAAAAATGGGGGCACTAACTGCTAGGATAAATGAGGCAGAAGAGAGAATTAGTGATACAGAAGACCAAATGATGGAGAATAAAGAAGCTGAGAAAAAGAGAGATAAACAACCACTGGATCACGAGGGCAGAATTCGAGAGATAAGTGATACCATAAAACAAAACAATATGAGAACAATTGGGATCCCAGAAGAAGAGAGAGGGGCAGAAAGTATACTGGAGCAAATTATAGCAGAGAACTTCCCTAATTTGTGGAAGGAAACAGGCATCAAAATCCAGGAGGCACAGATAATCCCCCTCAAAATCAATAAAAATAGGTCAACACCCCGACATCTAATAGTAAAACTTACAAGTCTCAGAGACAAAGAGAAAATCCTGAAAGCAGCTCAGGACAAGAGGTCTGTAACCTACAATGTTAGAAACATTAGACTGGCAACAGACCTATCCACAGAGACTTGGCAGGCTAGAAAGGACTGGCATGATATATTTAGAGCACTAAACAAGAAAAATATGCAGCCAAGAATACTATATCCAGCTAGGCTGTCATTGAAAATTGAAGGAGAGATAAAAAGCTTCCAGGACAAACAAAAACTAAAAGAATTTGCAAACACGAAACTAGCCCTACAAGAAATATTGAAAGGGGTACTCTAAGCAAAGAGACAGCCTAAAAGTAACATAGACCAGAAAGGAATAGAGACAATATACAGTAAAAATCACCTTACAGGCAATACAATGGCACTAAATTCATATCTTTGTAAATGGGCTAAATGCCCCAATCAAAAGACACAGGTATCAGATTGGATAAAAAAAACAAGACCCATTGATATGCTGTCTGCAAGAGACTCATTTTAGACCCAAAGACACCTCGATTGAAAGTGAGGGGGTGGAAAACCATTTACCATGCTAATGGACACCAAAAGAAAGCTGGCGTGGCAATGCTATATCAGACAAATTAGATTTTAAACCAAAGACTGTAATAAGAGACGAGGAAGGACACTATATCATACTTAAAGGGTCTACCCAACAAGATCTAACAATTGTAAATATCTATGCCCCTAATATGGCAGCAGCCAATTATATGAGCCAGTTAATAACAAAATCAAAGACAGACATCAACAACAATACAGTAATAGTAGGGGACTTTAACACCCACCTCACTGAAATGGACAGATCATCTAAGCAAAAGATCAACAAAGAAATAAAGACTTTATTTTTTTAAAGATTTTATTTATTTATTTGACAGAGAGATAGAGAGAGCACAAGTAGGCAGAGAGGCACGCAGAGGGAGAGGGAGAAGCAGGCTCTCCGCTGAGCAGGGAGCCCAATGTGGGGCTCGATCCCAGGACCCTGGGATCATGACCTGAGCCGAAGGCAGACGCTTAACGACTGAGCCACCCAGG